CGTGCCAATGTAGCTCACAGGTAATCCAACTCAAGTTACTGTAGGCACATACTTAAGCACCCTGTATAATCAGAGACTAAAAGCAAGTATTTGGGGAAAGAATACAATAAAATAATTGCTGGTAATAAAGAAGAGAACAAACTAACATAAGAAACAAAATGTGAAAAAAATCACTAGCATTTTAGAAATAGAGTCATATGGTTTCTGTCGAGCAGAAAGAAAAGAAATGCATGATCAAAGTGATATTTAAAACAAGAGTATAGATTTCGAATCTAAATTATTAGTCTGAGCTCTTTTATTTTCCAGACTCAATGCAATTTGTATGATACAGGTTTGCAACTGGAAAGCAAACTAAAGAAAATCCTGAATGTAACTGTACTATAATTAGATTTTTGTCCTGACTTGTGATTTTATTTGAAGCTAACAACTGGTGCCTTGTAATTTGAACTTAATGTTTGTATTACTGGCTTGTATTATTTTTTAAAAATAACTATATAATTCAATTTTTAGACTAGAATTCTTCAAAATGTGGGGGCTTTCTTCTACCTTTAGCAATAAAATTAAAATAAATATAATAGAAATTTTCCAGCAAGTTCTGGTCATAAACAATACTTCAAGATAAGCTGAAGAAAGATGTCTCCAATTTTAAATACTGGTATAAGGATTGTTTTTATCATGATTAATATAAACATTTCTCCTCACACAAATCTTTTGCTCTGAAGTATTTAAGAAGTCTGGTTCCCCAGATGGCTTTTTAGGGCCAGATTCAGCTAACCTTCCTGGGGATGAGAAGCATCTGTTTATATGTGTCCCACAGATTTCAGAGGGGCTACTCAAAGAGTATAATATTATTCAGCATGAGTGAAAGTGGCAGACTCAGGTCCTTAATCATTGACATTTCACTTCAATCATTGGCATTTCACTGCAGCACAACATGTGGCTGTAACATTCAAGAAGTTGAGTCAGTGGGAACTTCACCAACTTTCAGGCAGGAGGCAGAGGAAACTTTACTGGGACACAGTAAAAATGTGACATCACCACTTTTAACTGTACAACATCTGTTTTGCAGACTTTTTAGGCACTGGTGCTACTAGATAACTCAGCTTGATTTTTGCCTTGCTCACAGGGCAACACAATATGTTTCCAATTAGCAGCCTCTGATCTAATAAATGAATGTAACAATCATTTTGGGGTGGAGGGTTCTGTCCTTTTCATTAACACAAAGTTATTTGCTTATTTGACTGAGTCTTCAAGCTGGGGAGAAACATAACAATGTAATTAAAGATACATTATAAAGATACTAAGAGAGATGTAAGCAATCTGATGAGGTTCTCTTTGGGGAATCAAAGTTTTATAGTCTTGCTGAGGTCGAAGACAACCAAGACTGCACAGTGTGGCAAGTGCTGTAAAGGATGTGCTCAAACAGAAAAAAATGCAGTTATGGCTGAACTTCAGATCAGGGATTATTGTATCACAGAGAACCGCCCAGTACTTTCATGGGTTTAACTGTGACTTTTCGATAGAGCTGGTTTGGAACTTTTAAACAAAACATCTGCCAAGTAAATTTCTTAGGCCCAGGATAGGATTTGGAGTCAAAGCCAAAGTGAGATCCCTCCAAACAGTATCTCACTGTATCCTAGTGGTTAGGACATTCACGGAGAGGCCAAGTCAGGCTCTGCCTGATTCAGAGCAGGAATCTAAACCTGCCTCACCAGTACCCCAAGTGAGTGCACTAACCACCTGTCTACTAACTATTCTGAAGTTGGACAAACACACATATCCTTTTCTTCCAAAAAAAAAAATTGAAAAGGTTTTAGTTTCATTCCAGTGTGGATCAAAAACAAACCTTAAAAGCTTTCAAGGAATTCTTGTTCTTCAGCCAGCCCTGCTTTCAAACCATAGCCCTGAGCGAGCAGCCACCTCGCCATAGAGATAGAGAGAGACTGTTAACAATAAAGAACAGATTCTTCCCTAGCACTGTCTCCACTGTACAAAAAGGCAGCAATCTCATTCTGCCAGAGAAGTCTGTTCCCACCTGCACTCTGGCCCTGTTTTCCTGGCAGGCTCTCTCTGTTCCTTTCACTTCCCTGCTTTTTTTTTTTTGAAATCCCGCTCTTAAGGGGAGAGTGATTAGCAAAAGTGCAGGAACTACTATTGTGCACAGCCCTGAGGTGGTGAAAGGGGACAGAGCTCCATACTAGCCCCTTTTTCCCCTGAGTGGATGCGCAGGGGCCACACACAGATTTCATCCTCCATGATTAGAGGCCTAGAGACCAGGAGAGGCTGAAAGACTTGGGACTGTTTAGCCTAGAGAAGAGGAGACTCAGAGGGACTTGATGACAGCCTATAAATATATCTGGGGAGTACATCAGGGCCTGGGGGAGCACTTGTTCAACAAAGCCCCCCAGGGGAGGACTAGATATAATAGGCACAAACTGATTGAAGATCACTTCAGACAAGACATAAGAAAAAACTTCTTTACAAGTTGAGTGCCGGGGGTTTAGAACGGGCTTCCCACAGAGATGGTAGAGTCACCCACCCTGGCCATCTTCAAAAAGTGTCTTGATGCCCATCTTGCTGGGGTCATCTGACCCCAGTGGTCTTTCCTGCCCAAATGCAGTGGGCCTGAATGCGATGATCTGTAAAGTCCCTTCCAGCCCCTAAAAAACTATAACACTATTTCACCTTTATTCAGCACTCTATTTATTGCTCAGGTAAATATGCTACTGATGTCAATGATGCTTGTTCCTGCCAGGTACTAAGCACTTTCTGAGAGGGTTTGACTTCCTCTACCTTCTTTTGAAAACAATGTAGCAACTCTCAAGAGGCACCTGGCAAATTTAAGATCTTAACAGACTATGGCCATAGGCATATATTTAGGTGTCTCTATAAAAAATTAGGGAGGTGTTTGGTGAATTCTGGGTCAGCAGACTAACACTAAATCTTATTTAGTGATAATGCAATACTGTATTAATTTTAAATTGAAAGAGAGAAAACATTCTGAAGAAAAACTGCTGTTCACCCAAGCCATGTTTGTTTGTTTAATCACTTTTCCTGTAAGAGTTTAACTTATAGGTTGCTTATATTTTGGTTTACAAGTTGACAAAATCTTTACACCTGTGAAAATTGCTTTGGAAGCACAAAAAAGAGCAGATTAAAAAATGGCCCCCAAGCAAGTACTCGTAAAGGAAATTTTGAGCATGACCGTAAAGTATAAGGCAGAACTATGCAGAGATACCCTGTGCTAACTCTGTGCAGGCTAACTCTGGTATAAGAAGCAGTATAGCTGTGGTAGCATGACACTAGGGCTTCAGCTGTTCTGAAAAACAGGTCTTATTAGCACAGGCATAGCGCAACTCTAACAGAGCCCTAGTGCTTCCAGAAACTAGGGTGCACAGAACTAGCTCTGTGTACATCTCTGCACAGCACAGCTTCACCCAACACAAACACACCCTTTTAAGTCCCAACGTATGTCAATAACATTTCTCTTAAGTGAAACTTACAGAAAGTAGAGTCAAAGCACAAAGTGCAAATTCTATTTTCATAGGCTGAAATTTATTCTACAAGCCTAATGCCAAGTAACTGGACACCATGGCCACTGACAGATGTGAAAAACAAAAAAGCAGCACTTTACAGTAAGAAGCATTGCATCAGTTTGACTCAGCTCCCCCAGTGTCTGTATAGATAAGGAGCCTCAGCTGACTGATTCAGCTTTAGATAAAAGCACCAAAACACCCTGCTGAAGTGCCCAATTTTTACAGACATAGGGTGAGCTGGGTCAAACTAATGGTATGCTTCTTCTGGGCATGTGCTATGCTTGGCAAAGGGGCACACCAAGCTGAAAGTAAAGCACTCTTTGGGGGGCTTTTTAACATCTGTAGGTAGCCCATGTGACTAAGGTAAAGTTGGGTTGAAAAGATGAAACCCTAGCTGAGGACTAGGTCTCAGGCCTGCCCATTTCCTCAAAACAAATGCCACTGCAGCCCAGTGGGGGACAACAATCAACTCCTCAAAGTCAAGGCAAATTTCACCTATTATGCTTTAAAATTATCATAAACATACCATTGTTATCTCCCATTGGAGCTGCCAGACTCAAAGTCCAATCCTATATGTAAGTAATCCTTACTCTTACATGATACTTCCTTGAAGCCAATGGGATTATTTCTGTGTGCAAAATTTTGCAAGATCTGATGCATTCAGAGTAGAGGGGAAATGAGACACTTCAACTTCTAATGATTTCAGTTTGAGTTGACAGCAGTCAGCGTATCATTTTATACCAAACACCTAGGTGAATTGTAATCAGCAGAGATTGAATTTAGGATCTAAAGATATTAATGCATTAACTTCTAAAACTTGAGCAGAAAAAAACAGTGCTATGGAAGGCTTATCAATGTGTTTCTGTAACTTAGACATCATTAGAGGGAAGGCAGAATGGATTGAATTCACTTTGCTGATGTAGTCCACAGTCCAAAGTCATTGATTAGAGCATCAGAAAAGTAGAGATCCTGAATTAAAGACCCAGCCCCAAAACTTTAACTTATTCTTTACTCATTAACTTTATTAATGAGTGGCCATGGCAATAAGGATTTCATTTATATGACTACTGTGATTAAGGGTTGCAAAAGACCTCAGAATTTAACTTAGCCATATTTTGGTTGCATTGCCTACAGTCCCAAAGCACTAGGAAACCCATTTAAGCCTGGCTGATTGTAGAAAAATGTGCATCACCATACTGATACACACTGGGTACAGATTAAAACCTTATGTTAACACTTCCTCTCTTCACAGAATCCTGTCTGTCAACCATAATGTTATTTTAACAGATTTGGTTTTATTTGGCTTCCTTGCTTTTTTTGTAAAGTCAAAGTAATTTAATCTTTTCATTATAAAATGTATGCTCCATAAGGAACTGGACATTTCAGGGTTTTGATTGTTGTACACTCTTACAATAATAATAAAGTAATAGTAATAATAATAATAATAATAATAAAGCAGTTTACCTTGAAAGCAGTAGGCATCAAACTTTGTCTCTGGCAAAGGAAAGCCTGTTTGGTTCTCATAGCGATATAGGGTTCTCACCCCAAGTAAACCTCCTCCACATTGAGGTCTAGCCACGGATGCAGGATAGCGAACACTGCCATCAGCCAGCCAGCCAAAGTCACACTGGTCATAGCCTATCCTCCAGGCAGCATACAGCTCTGCAACTGTAGCAAGGACTGCGTTTCTTTTTTCACATTCCTCTTTAGCTTCTTCAAAGGTTAGCTTGTCAGGCACAGTTACATGGAACACAGTACCTAATGGGATACAAACAAGAATGAATCTCACTGAACATTTCTCTCTAGATGCTCCAATTATGACGGCCTCTCCATAATGAAGGTTTAGTCTTAGTCTTGCTTATCAACTCAGTTTTCCTTTCCCCCCAGTCCAACATAAATACCTAAAACAAGTGTCCTCCATTTTTCCATATCCAGTCTGTGACCATAAAAGCAAGTCTGCCCTAATTTATGTGTAACTTACCCATCCAACACAAAGCACAAACATTGACTATATGCGTGAGGGAATGGCTGGAGACAGAATCCCAACCTCAACATGCAAACAGAAGTTATGGGAGCCATACAGCCCCTATGTAATTTCTACTTGAGTCTGTGGGCTGTAGGCAGAGCTGTGAAACCACTGCACTCATTAAAACTGGGTTGATAATGTGTATTTTCTCAAGAAAAGCAAATCAATTCTATTATATCTGCAGCCTTTTCCTTGGCCTTTCCCATGGATCTCACTTGAGGCACAAAGAAAGTAAGTTAACTTTATTGGCTGCTGTAAATTAGTTTCCAGTGTTATATTTCTAAAAGCTGACTCCTGACAATCCCACATGAAAAAAAAAGATGAAAATAGGCACTGGATCAATTTATATTTACCCCCAAATTTATGATTTACCTGAGAGGGAGAAACTAGACCTGAAGACCCTTTGTGTAGCTTGGCTTCAAGTGAACAATACTCTCCAAACAATGTCTTTTCCTTTATAATTACTGATGGGGTTTGACCCAGAATAATTAACATGCCTTTGATGTATATGATCAATATATGATCTATTTTCTTTCCTTTTTATCACCTCCCCGGCCCCTTTTTGGTTTGGAGTTTTAGGTATGTCTGCCTAGAACTCTACAGAGACTATTTCTACACTGCTTTCCTGGTGCTCCTTGGCTAGGGACAGCAGTTACACACAACCTGGTTTAAGTGATCAGAAACTGGTATAAGCCGGTAACAGAACAGAAGCTCAGTGCGTATAAGCCAATTTCAAAATGGCTGAACTTGTTTTAAGATAAACCTGGATGAATGTAGTATCAGACTTAACTGATTTAGGTCAAACTGGCTTATGAAACTTCTGTCCCAGACCCTTTCCTGGTTCAAGTTAAATCACAGTCCCCCAACATCCCAGCATGATGTGCAGCCCTGGGCTGGGCTGTGTTGTCTGCTCCAGAGTGTGGGGTTGGCCCCACCCCTCTGCTCCCTTGCTGGAGAAGGGAGGGCTGGCTGACAAGGGGGTGGGAGTGGGAAACCCTGCAGGGGACTGCAGCTGGGTCTATCTGGGGGCTAGCCCCTGCCACACTTTTCTGCATTGGAGTGGAGTGGAGTGGGTGGGGGTGGGAGGTACAGGGTGGGCAACAGCCTGAGAGCAACTGCCTCCCCAGGCAAACCCCGGCTGAGGTCCGAAAGGAGCTTTAATCCCTCCTTCCTCAGCTCAGTGTGCTGTCCACACCCCCTGCTCTCTGCTGGAGCAGGACATGGGCAGACAACAGTCTGAGAGGGACTGCTTTGGCTGGTGTGATCAAAGAAAGCAGACAACTACATTTACATTATAAAACAGCAGGAGACCAGCAGGCTCTACGCCTCCCACCACTGGCAGAGACTGAGGCTGGCAAGCTGATAAGGGGAGACGGAGGGGGTATTATCCTCTCAGCTCCTCCAGGCCATAGGGGAGGGGGAAGAGGCTGGGGAACCGGGGCTGGAGGGATTGGTCCCCTGCCACCTGTGAGCAATGGGAACTCCAACACCTAAGACCACCTGTTGATTCCCCAAGAAGCATACCTGGCTGTAAGGAGACGCTCTTCTGTAAGACTTATGCAAGGCTTTCTTTTGTCTTTTTGGTTTATTACACTCCATTTTAAGTTAGACTAAGCTGTGTGAGCTCTCAGTCCACTTTACTGAACTGTATCTTAGCTTAGGCAAAGATTTTTGGTGGTTGTTTGTTGTGTGCTTGAGGTTGCAAATTGCTGTGTACAACACATGCTCGCTTCATAGAAAGGACTATTCTTACTCAACGCTGCTACCTTTTTCCCCACCCACCCCTTCCTCAGCCTGGCAGGGCTGCCCTCCCCACCCCTTGAGCAGGGATTGCGGGGCAGAAGCCTGGCAAGCACTGCCCCTCTACCCAGGCAGACTCAGGCTGGGGTCCCATGTGGGCCAGGGAGTGGATTTAAATCCCCATCCTCCAGTGTGTTAGTTCTAGGCTGGGGCCTAGCCACATCCCCACTGTTCCAGCAGTGAGTGGGGAAAAGCCTTGGAGCTTCAGTCCCTTCCCTTTGGCAGTGGCTGGCAGGCTGGGAGGTATGCTGTAGCACCCACCCCTCGCTTTTGGCCTGAGCCACTGCAGAAATGTGGGTGCATTTCCTGAATCAAAAATGAATGTCTGTTCACTTGCTTTTCAGTTTAATCTCTGCATCCTAACTAACCTGCAAAGACTGAATTGATTCAACCTCGGGCTTTTTGACTGTCTATACTTAGCCCTTAGGACTAAATTCTTGCCTCACTTCACACACACCAAAACTAGCAAAGAGCCTCAATAAGAGTGATCCTAGCAGCAGTTCACAAATTCAACAAAAGAAGAAATTTTGAAAATGGCAGCAGAGGACATCCTCAATACTACTTCACTTACTCATTACAAAGTCTGATGCATTGCCCTGGATAAGCAGGTGGGCAGGCCCCAACAAGAGCAGCTACTCAGGGAGCACTGGGAAAACCATATAAACGTGTTCTAAGAGGGCCACTCTTTCACCCATCAAGATAATTACAACATGATTCAAGTCTCAAAGTTCACAGAGTGGGAACAGTGCAGTATTTGATACCTTCCTATTTTTTGGATCTGCAGTATACTGCAGCTAATGAGAATTAAAATATTCAGTTTAGGAGAGTAGCTTATTATGAAATGTTGATATTTTTCTCATCTATTTTGGATCAGAATACAAGGTTAGTATTGCTGGGGAGAGGTGTGCAGCCACACTGAACATGTGATCTATCTCAGCTATGCATTTGTCTCAAGACAACTTAGCAAAAGGCAGACGGAGAGACTGCATCACCCAGAGTGGTTTCTTTCAAATCAATATTACACTTGTTTTAGGACTGAAAGGAATGTAAGTGTGAAAGGAGGCAGTGTGCCAATTTTTTTTCTCCTAGGTAGAAACATTGTGATTTGTTATTACAGCTGTAATACCAATTCCATAGCATGAGTTTCCTCATACAAATTGCAAGGAATTTCTAACTTAGGGGTAAATTAATGTAGCCATTAAAGGTTAAATTATGTCTGTTAGGCACCATTCAGGGCAAGGGAAAGTACAGAATTATATTGCCCAGGAGGCAAAATGCTATTCTGAGAGCACAGAAGAAGTATGCTTGCTACTACATAACTTTCATGGGGTCAGCCTGTTGCTCCTGTCTGCATGCTAGTTCCTATATGTAAACCACTGCAGAGTTAAGTATAGAGGCATGGCACTGTCTCCACATTTTCTCCACAGGAGCAACATACAACACTGGAACAGTAAACAAAGGTCCTCCCTAAAGCACCAGCTCTAATTTTCTTCCTTTGCTTTGAAGGCCAAAAATTATGGACCCACATAATAGCCTAGGAGAACTCAGCCCTAAGTAGATAAGAAATGGAAGCGTATTAAAAAAAGATTATTAAAAAGGAAAATAATATGCTCTTTATTACCAGAGAACATTAAGTTA